GCACTTGTGTGAAACTAGTGTTGGAAATCCACCTATCCACTTAGTCTTCTGATAACAGATACTTTGCTCATATCAAGTTTCCCTCATCTTCTGATGGACAACCTGCACACCACTTTGCTGTGCATGTAATGTAAGTGGAGTGACCGCAGATCATATCAACGCAATGTCCATCCTGAGTTGAATGGCTGAAACCTGTGTGAGTTTTGTAAGAAGATTGACTAACTGGACCAATGTCACTCAAGTCAATCAGCACATTGTGGAACAATTAGAATCATCGAATCTTACAGCACTCGGCCCATTGAGCCTGTGCCGGCTATTTGAAAGAGCTACCAACTAGTCCCACTCCCTCCGCTCTTACCCCCATAGCCCTTCAAATTGTTCCTTTTTGAAGTACCTTTCCAATTCCCTTTTGAAAGTTATTATTGAATCTGCTTCCAGGCAGTGCATTCCAGATTGTAACAACTCTCTGGGTAAAAAAATCTCTCCTCTGGTTCTTTTGCCAATGATTTTAAATGTGTGAATTCTGGTTACTGACCCACCCACCAGAGGAAACAGTTTCTCCTTATTAATCTATCAAAACCCCTCATAATCCTCTATTAAATCTCCTCAACCTTCTCTACTCTAAGGAGAACAATCCCGGCTTCTCTAGTCTTTCCGCATAACTGAAGTCCCTCATCCCGGGTATCATTCTGGTTAAAAAAAACAGTTGGTGATTAGTTCAGTTGGTGAAGCATTGAATGCCCCCAAGGAATAGTCCCACCAATATGGCCGTTGGTCATACTTGCCTGCGATGTTGCTGTGTTCCACTACTCCAGAACTTCTAGAACTCCCTGTGTCAATCCCTCTTCCTTGCCTATCCTTTCTTTGCCCATCTCGAGATAGCATCTGAAGCACGCTTGGAGTTAGTTGATGGATATTTTAGCTTGGGAGACCAGCGTGGAAGTGATTGTGCAAGGGCAGGCGGAGAAACATTTAGATGAGGCGGTGAATTGGGTTGGAATTGGAATCGGGAGTCACAATTTATGTCACCTCTTATCTTAAGTGGCGCCTTCACTTTACCCTGTTTGTTAGTTCCCTCTATAAATATAGTTCACTGCAGTCTTATGCAACTATAAGACTGTCTGTAGTTCTCTCAGGCTAGCACCTGTCTGGGAATCACAGAGAGGGAAAAACAGCTGATTCATAATTCTGAAAACTTCGGTTAAACAGGTATTGTGGAGAACAGTGATAGGGAACATCTGGAGGCAGTGCCTTATTCCAGGTAACGTAAACCTGTCTGAACACCCTCTCACAGAAAACAGGTTATTGGCAATATAAGTTTATAAAATATCGAGTCTTACAGTGTAGCAAGCGAGAGGACCTAATGTGTCACCACCACGTGCTCAATCAATAGCACATTATCACATCAATGAGACATCTCAAAGCGCATCACAGAATATTGCAAAGTGAATTGACTGTATATTTAGTGGGTGAAACGTGGCAGCCAATTGCACATAGCAGCGTACAACGTGACCTTTAAGACTTACTCTTAGTTACATAAGACTCCATTGAGTCTTTACTCCCTATATTTTCTGTGTCAAGCATATGGCAAAACACACAACAGTCCTGTCGAATCTCATGTACAGCATTTCCTGTGACAGCTTTCTTTAGTATAAAAGTCATGTTCTGTATGACTAAAAAAAAGGTTTGTTTAACATGTTAAATGAGGTTCCTGGTTTGGGAAAATAAATCATATACGTTGCATAATCCTGTCATACCGATCAAACAAATAAATTAATAATAATAATTTGGTCGCTCAGTCCACGACTGTTTGTGCCACACTGCTGGGCTCAATTGACCCCTCTCTCCTCATCCTCTCCCCCCCTCTCTTTCCTCTCCCCCCCTCTCTCTCTTCTCCCCCCCTTCTCCTAACTCTCCCCCCCGTCTCTCTCTCTCCCCCCCTTCTCCTGACTCTCCCCCCCTCTCCTCTCCCCCCCTTCTCCTGACTCTGTCCCCCCCTCTCTCTCTCCCCCCTTCTCCTGACTCTCCCCCCCCCTCTCTCTCTCCCCCCTTCTCCTGACTCTCTCCCCTCCATTCTCTCTCCCCCTCTTTCCCCCCTTCTCCTGACTCTCCCCCTCTCTCTCCCCACCCCCACACACTCTGCTCAGTTATACCATTTTTCTTTTCGGTTTTCTGTCTGGGTTTTACCTCAACTTCTCTCTTCTGTTGCCTTTCGTTTTCCTTTGATGAAGGAAATGAGGTTTAAAATAATAATTTCAGCAATTAATCTGGAGAGAAATGAGAGAGAGAGAGTGTGGTGGGGGGGGGGGGTTGTATTTCAAGATTGTTCCAACTTTTCTTGGTTCTGCCAATATTTTTATTTTGCCCCAAAACTTCTCTCTTTCTTCTGAAATGAGGTTGAAAATAATAATAATTTTTTTTAGCTATAAAATAATGTAAAGTGCATTAATCTAGAGAGCAAATGGAGGGGGGGAGGGAGGGAGGGGGCTGTTTATATTGTAAAACCTGGGCCCCCCTCTCTCTCTCTCTTTCAGCTCTACTCACTTTTACTATTTTCTGCTTTATTTTACCGAAACTTCTCTCTTCTTAAGGAAATTAAGTTGAACATAAACTTTCAGATGTAGGGGCGGAGGGGTGGGGGTTGTTTATGTGTCAGAGTACTTTTTTTAAAAAAAAAACTCGACTGATGTTGTTATTTCCATTTTCTGTCATACTTTGGCTAAAGGTCTCTCGTTTTTTTGGGTTGAAAAAAGGAAATTAAGTTTAAAATGAACTTCCACAAATCACTCTTCAGAGAGTGCGAAGTGAAAGAGAGAGAGAGAGAGAGAGAAATGAGGATTGTGTGTCACACATATACCCCCCATCCTCTCTCAACTCTGTTGAGCCATTATTTCTGTTTTCTGCCCTTAATTTCGGAGTTAAGGTTCAAAATAAACTTTTTAACCAATTAACCCAGAGACAGAGAGCGTGAGAGGGGGGGGAGAGAGATGGGGGTCGTGTGTGCGTTTAAACGTCAGGTCAGATACAACTCTGTTGTGTTGTGTTGTGCCATTGTTTTTTTTTGTGTGTGTGTGTATTTTCTCATTTGAGAGAGAAAGTGAATCGCAATCTTGTGCATTGATTCATAATGTTATAAAGTTAACAGAAAAAGACCTGCGAGGAAGCAGAGCTCCGAGTTGGGAAAAAATTGGAGCTCAGTTCTTCCCTCATGTCTCGACCTGTACAGTGTTTTTTTTTCTCTCTCTCTCCTTCTTTTATTTTTTTTTTTAGCGTTTCAGTGAATAAGGTTTGACACGAACTTCTCCACATGAGCTTTCGAAAAGCAATGCGTTTGCTTACAGGTGTGGGGTCTTGTTGGTCTCTCAACCCACTCTTTTTCCAATTATTTTTATTTTCGACCCGTTTTAAAGGTCACATTTTAAATGAACTTAATGGAATAATAGTACGTGCAATAATAGTTAATAGAGAGGGAGATGAGGGAGCAGTTTCACTCAAGGTTTTCTGAGTTTTTTTCCCCCCTCTCCTGTGTGTTTTTTTCTGACTTGTTTAAGGCAGTCAGATTTAAACAAGAAATACTACCATAGTTTTATACACGTTTTAATAATATTGAACTGGATTATAGAGCGGTTTAAAAAAAAAATCAGGTCAGGTTTTGGAGCTTTTAGGAGTATTTTTTTTCCCCTTATTTAAGAAAAAAAACAAAAAAAAACTTCAGCAAAATGAATTACAATACAAATATTTTTTTCCAGTGAGAGAGGGGGAGAGAGAAAGAGAAAGTTGGGGCTTCTGAGTTTTAATGAAGTTCTCCCATTCTTTTTTTTTTGGTTTAAAAAAAATATATTTTTTCCTTCGGAGGGAATCGAATCGAAGAAAGAAAAGCGAGAATTAAATAGAAATTTTTTTTTTTAAAAAAATGTACTCGTGGGGTGTAACGTGTGTGTGTGTGTTGATACGAACCCTCTTCCTCCCCCTAACTTTTTTTTATGGAGTTTGGAAAGAAAAATGATTGGGGGGTTTTTGTGTTTTAAGAAAAAAAGAGAGAGAGTTCGGGACTTGGGGCAAAATCTGTCATCTGAGGAATCTTAATAACATTGCACTCGGTTCGCGAGAGAGACCCCCACAAAAGGAACGAAACGCCCCTCTTTTTTTTTCTGTGCAAAAAAAAAACCACACACACACACACAACACACGCACACAACAACACACACAACACCAGGAAATGTAACCCTCTAAAAAAAGCTGTTTGGAATTAGAGACGAGTGCTCTCTGTTTGGAAGTGCGTGTGTTTCGATTCCAAACCGTTTGCGAGAGGGGCTCGGACCGATTTTTTTATTTATATATATATATATAAATATATATCATATATATATAAATATATATCATATATATATTTGTAGTTAAAGTACTGTAACACTGCAGGAGAGAGAGAGGGGTGGGGGGGGGGGGAACGTTGCCCGTCTGAGGTCCCTTTAGAAAAAACACTTTATTATTATTATTTCTGTGTGTGAGCAGTTGTGCAAATACGCTTTTTTTTTCCCCTTAAATTCTTTCCTGTCGTGGTGGTGGTGGTGGTGGTGTTGGTGATTTTGTGCAATTCCATTGCATTCGGGGTTGCAGTTCCTCAGCTGTAACTGGGGGCCCTGTAGGGAAAAGTAAGACGTTTCAGACCAAGACACAAGTACTTACTCTCTCAAAACACGTGTGGTCCTGGGGAAAAAAATGGAATTATTAAATATCGACGCGTTAATACTTGTGTTTTTTTTTAAAAAAAACAACAAGTCTTGTCCTAGACAGCAGTGGGGGGGGGGGGGAATAGATTAATATCTATCCTCTTTGCCATATGTTCTCTGATCTCTCAAATAAAATGGTTCGTTTCAAAAATAGCGACACATGTCATCACATGAAAACATTTACCCACACGAAGGGGAGGGAGGGGGGGGGGTTTCTGATCGTACTGAAGGCGTGTTATTTGTATACACTTTCATTTTTAAATCCCCCCCCCACACCCTCTCCAGCCTTTTCTAGTATTTTCCTATCTTTCTTTTATAGCAATCGCTTTCTCGCGCGTAAACCGGAGGGTTGTAGCCGGTCTGGTTTCGGTTTAACTTTTCTAAATGGTTCTCTTTGTCCCATTTTTTTTTTATTGTTTTCGTGTGTTTTTGAAGGTTTTATAATAAAGCGAGACTTAGCCCTTGTGGAGGTGGAACGCATTACGCTCTGTGATGTGGACTGGCAATGGTAACTCTTGTTTTGCTTTGCAGCAGAAGTTAACAGTAAAATTTTTATAACCACGTGAATGCTTCAGCTTGATTATAAGCCCGAGCGTTTTAGCTTAGGGTTTCGGCGCTTGACCTTACAGCGGGGCGATGTTGAACGGGTATTATTAGGAAGTCTACCTCGCGAAAGCTCACCGCCTTAGACGGGCGAAATGAAACTTTTTTTTCTCTCTCGTTGCGCCGTTGCTTTTCCTTCCTCTCCCGATTTTCTCCTCTCCTTTCTGTCGCTTTCTTAAGATGCTGTTTCGCGTCCTGACTGCCGTCTGTCTGGTCCCTTGCCCATATATGAATGTGTCTGGCCAGTCAGTTTTGGCAGGCGGTGCGATCACAGTGCTGGTGGGAGTTGGGGGCAATCCAGCTGAATCCTATTACTGTCCTTAGAAGATCTCCACTATGCATTCTTTCCAGCAAAGGTCACTAGATCACAATCACAAACAGAATCCTGGGCTGATTTATATTTTTTATTCCCCCACCCCCACCCCCTCTTCCCGTAGTCTGAGCTGTAGTTTAAATGCTCCAAGACACTGCCTCGGGTGAAGGGCGCTATATAAATCCAATGTCTGCTGTTGTCTCCGATGCCATTTGTAGGGTCTCCGACTGCAAATGAAATCGAGGACCTCAATACAGGACAAATTCCATTTGTACAGCGCCTTTCCCATGAGGATGTCCCAAAGCGGTGAACAGATGTTCGAACGTGTGACTTTCTTTTCTTATTGGTTGGTGCAGTGTGGTCCAACTGGCTGCCGGTGGGCCTCATCCGGCCCGGGGAATCATTTCAAGTGGCCCGCAAATCATTTCCCACATCACTATCTGACGAGCAGATACAAGCGACGCGCACGCAGGCTAATCAGGTCACTGGGGTCTCTAAAGGCCAGCATCCGGCCCTCGGCAGCCAAAAAGTTGGACCACGCTGAGTTAGTGTGTGGCGATGGCTGTTGATAGGCATTGGTGGAGCGGCAACAGATTTTCTGGCAGCAGCTTTATGACAGATGTTTTACAATGGTACTAAAGCAAGTCTTAAAAGGAACCCATCATCTGAACAGCAATTAAGAATAAAACTGTCCCTCACCTGTCAGTGCTGTGACTATAACACTGCACTGTTCAGTGTGATGACATCCTCCCTGTATATCAGTGAAGACGTGAAGGTGAGCCACGTAAATGCATCCCGGTCGTCGTAAAAAAATAATCTGTGAAATTATTTCTCTCCCTTTGTGGTAACCGACGTGGTTGTTGATGCTACAGTGGAAACGTCGCAAGGTTTCTGCGGCACACCGCGGTTGCCATCGGACTTCCAAGCCCATACGCTGTTAAACCCTGAAATTGGCGATGGAGTCCTGTAGTAATAATTTGGTCGCTCCATCCACGACTGTTTGTGGGGTGCACTGCCGTATGCACTTGGCTGCCCCGGTTTGCCCCGCAAAACGTGCCGTGGATTCACCTTATATTGAGTATATTCTGCGAAGTGCTTTGGGACGCCTCGGCGAATGCAGAAAAAGGGAATCGCGCCAAAGATGCAAGCGAAATCAATCCGAATTTGGGCAGCAACACTGGAATTAGGGGGAGGGCCCATTAATACCCAAGTATGCAGCTCTCCGCACTTTTAAACGTCTGTGGGTTTTAGCCTGTTTGGCCTTTTGGGACGTAATTCACTCAAGTTTCACTCATCACTTGTGGTCGTCCAACTTTCTCATGGTTACTGGCAAACATTAATCTCTTTATAATGATGTGCTGGACATACAGTCCACAATGTATCAGGTTCCTATCTCATTCTGTGCTGAGTTCGCTGATCTTAGCTGCTGACCTCAATGTCATTGTGTAAGAGAGGGAGAGGAGGGGGGGGGGACGCGAAGGGGAAGAACAAGTCCGGGTTCTTTCTCCGGATTGCTAACCAGATACGAACCCTGCGAGTGTGTGTGCGCGCGCGCGCGTTTGTGTTGTGTTTGGATGTCGGGCGAGGACGTGATTAGGATTTTCCCTGTGGTGAAACGTCCTGCCAACTCTTGACTGTCGGACTTCATGCACAACGGGTGTCAGCATCTGAAGCAAAATGCACTTATATAAGAGCGGGGGGTGGGGGTGGGAAAAAAATGGCAGGTCTTGTTCTAACTGGTGCTCGGTTCTGCCTAAGTGCAGGGAAATTGCTGTGTTTGGGTGGAATACATAGGTAGAACCCTGCCTGGTTTGGGCATTATTTTGCGTGAGTCAGACCCTCGACCAAAACATTTTTATCGGTGCACGTTCAGTGTAAATGCAGCGTGGGTACATCGCAGCCTGTTGAGTTATTGGAGAATCTTGTCACATCAAGACCCAAGTGCAATAAGCTTCTTAACGTCCCCAGTTCTCAAAGTAAGTTCAAGGCTGTGCGCAATTGGCTGCCGCGTTCGCCCACAAATATACAGTCAATTCACTTTACAGTGTGTTCTGTGAAGCGCTTTGGGACGTCCTCCCGACGTGAAAAGCGCTATATCAAATGCAAGGATTATTATTATTATTATTATTATAAGGCTACAAGTTAATCCTTTGGCGTTCAGTAATGTAAGGCATTTAATTCACTTGTCCAGGTTCCCGCGTTAGTCTGTAAAGCTTCCACGGTGTAATCTTGGGGGTTGGGGGGAGGTAAGCGGGGTCTCCTTGGAGCCGAACTGGCTCCAAGATGCCGTGTTCGGCGGCAGAACGTCAGGGCTCGTCACGCTCAGCTCCCGTTAACCCTGCAATCCAAAGCCTTAACCGACAGGGTGGTCCGAGCTGGGCAAGCAGCAGGAACGCTTGCCAGGCAGTGATATGAATGGCAAGCTGTGTGGTTTCAGCTGGTTAGACTCCAGCAGTTACCCCAACGCACTCTTGCCAACCTGCACCTAATACTTTCCGGAATTGGGTAAGCAGGGGGCGTTCATCCAGGGGGTGAGAGAGAGAGAGAGAGAGAGAGCGCATTCCAATAAACATCTCTGGGATTTTGATGTGTAGGTGGATGCGTGGAACTCTTGTTTGGCTTAATCATAGGGTTTCTGCATGTGTCAAAAAAAATCCATTCTGCATTTTGCTCATGCAAAGCCGGTCCCACCCCTTCACGCACTCGCACACGTTTCTATTTTGTTGTGAATTACGTGTCATAATCTTGAGATTTGCTTCTCACTTGGGCCATTTTGCCGACAAAATACGCAGTCAACCCACTTTACAGTATATCCTGTGTCGCGCTTTGAGACGTCTCAATGACGCGATAAGGCGCGATATCAAACGTCAAAATTCTTGGGCCTGCTGCTGTGTAAACTATTCTCTGAACGAATTCACCTTTTGCTTGCAAAAATAAGGTTGAACATAGTTAGAATGCTGTGTGCAAATTCACAGCTGTATTCACCTACAAAATGTATAGTCTCCACATTTCCAGTAAATTTAGTGAAACACTTGTGACACAGCTTCCTGACGTGAAAGGCTCTATATCAGTCGATTTTTATTGAACTGCACGGTGGTGGAGTGGAGCCAAGCGAGGATGGGTGTGTGGCTCTCGGAGCTGTGTGTGTGGATGGTATATAACCTTTGGAAGGAAGAGCGGCAAACAAGCCCGAAGGTCATTTTGCCTATTGTGTCGGTGTGGTAGCTCCCCACTGGATCTGTGCACTTTAAACCCATATCAAGTAAAGGTCGCTTCTCCCCAAAAAATCTGCATAAGATCACGATTTAGTCACGTGTGAAATGTTTACCAATTTGTATTTGCTTCGAGCTGACATCTAACAGTGGAATCAATGATTAGTTTTTTTTTACTTGGAGATGCTTAACTAGGGTTGGGTCGTGTCTAGTGACGAATTGGATTTGTAGACGCACATCGAAGGATGTCTGTTATGTATTTTCTAGGATTCGTTGTTCAATTCATTTTATAAATTCAGCTCATTCCCAATTGTGAACAAATTACATTTAAAAAAAAAACCTCACGAGGGAATTAGTGTAACTTTTGAATTATACAAACATTTGGTTGATTTGTATCGGTAGAGCCGTAGCATAGAAACCATGAAACAGAGCAAAATTAATTCATCCCGTACCTCTTCAAGCCCATCTCTCTCATGCCGCCTCCGCCACCCTAGTCGACGGGGAACTCCGCAGCCCAACAACGCTGAGTGCAAATCATTCCTTCTTATTTGACCTTTCGCTGTTCTTGTGGCTTTCATAACTATGTTCCCCTAGTCCCCTTCTCCCCTAGAAATAACTACTCTATTGTTGAGACATCTCAAAGCGCTAATCAGGAAGTTCCTCTTTAAATTTAATTTTAAGTGTTTGCGTTTTTGAAGAAAGCTTCGTGTTTTAGGGTTTTCTAACTCTGCAGCAATAAACAACAACAACTTGAATTTACACAGCGCCCTTCGTGCGGGGTAGTGTCCTGGAGCGCTTGAGCAAAAGCAGTTTTGTGAAAAAAAATCCACTCTAGCAACGAATGACATTTGTGTTGCGCCCTTCATGTCGGGCGGACATCCCAAGGTCCTGGACATTCAGGGATTTGGACCCGATCGGGGGAGCACTTTAATATAAAGAATACCAACTTTGTTTTAAGTCCCACTAATTAAGCTCCATGATAAAGGGACTTGTATCTAGACTTTATTTCCTCTTTAAGCTTGTTGTGGAATGTAAGCTTTTACAACGTATTGTTGCCTCGGCTCTTGATTATAATAATCCAGCCACTAACTACCCACAACAAGATGTTTCATAACGTCAAAGAACTTGTGTTTATTTCTGCCTGGCTTTTCAAACCGGACCTGGTTTCATCTGAATTGGCACGTTTATATGAAAGGAGAGATTCATATCGCTATTAGTTTCCCATCCTCCTGACTTTCTACACTTTAGAAATGGTTTGTTAAGTACTGTCTGGAGTAGACATTCTGTCCGGAATTAAATGCCCCGTCAGCAAAATCAGTAGGTTCTTCCCCGTCTTTGTGGGTGGTAAAATGTGGGATCCTTTGCCGCAAACCGTTGTCA